GCAAAGAAACATCCACCTCTGGAGGAGAAGATAGATCCGGTGAAATTAAAGCGCACTATCGATGCCCTGAGGAAACCACCAAAGTATCCACTGAAAACAAACTATGAGCACTGAGGGAGTCCTGGATTAGGGGGTCTCCGGACAGATAGACTATATCCCTTGGCTGGACTGTTGGACTATGAAGATACAAGATTGAAGACTTCGTGTGTCTGAATGAGACTCTACTTGGCATGGAAGGCAAGCTAGGCAATACGGATATGTATATCTCCTCCTTTTGTAACCGACCTTGTGTAACCCTAGCCCCCTCCGGTGTCTATATAAACCGGAGGGTTTTAGTCCATAGGACAACATACAATCATACCATAGGCTAGCTTCTAGGGTTTAGCCTCTTTGATCTTATGGTAGATCAACTCTTGTACTACTCATATCATCAAGAACAATCAAGCAGGACGTAGGGTATTACCTCCATCAAGAGGGCTCGAACCTGGGTAAACATCGTGTCCCCTGCCTCCTGTTACCATCCGCCTTAGACGCACAGTTCGGGACACCCTACCCGAGATCCGCCGGTTTTGACACCGATAAGCACATTACTGAAAAGGTATATATATCGAAGCAGAGCGGTCAGGAAGTACTATCATTGATCGAAGGTTAGCAGAACGTCGAGCTGGGAAAAATATTGCCCAGCTCAGCGAACAAGCAAACCAATCGTGCCCCCCGCTCAAGGTGTCTAGCGATATCATCGCTAATGATCAGAGGATGGTGCCCGGTTATACCAATCTTGAAGATTACCTGCCCGACGATGTACATTATGAATTCTTGGAGGTGGACAAACACAAATACCATTACGGGAAACCTCTCGTCAAAGATGAAAAATCTCTAACAACGATGATGCGAAGATTGCATGATTGGTACATGAAAACCTGCAGAGAGTCTGGCGGGACGAATACTTTGACGCTGAGAGTTAAAGAGGAGCATGACCTCGTTGGAACTGATCTTTTGTCTATTCCATTTGAGGAGTTCTTCCAGTTTTTCAATCAAAAGGCTCTCGATAAATTAACGGTCACTTGCTACTGTCTGTAAGTACTACTTCTATCATTAAGTCTCTATATATAGCTTAGCTCTTTCATTGCATGTATTTATAATTATCCTCACTATATTATGCAGATTGAAGATCATCGAGTGCAGAAAATCAGAAATATATGATATTGGGTTCATTAACAGAAATCTCATAGATGAATATATTGTTAAAAAGAATGCCAAAGAAGCCGAGGCCAACTTGCTCAAATCATTGGTAATAAATCAAAACAAAGATAAAATACTCTTTCCTTATAACTTCAAGTGAGTGTTACTGTCTTGTGCATATTCGGTTTCCCTTATTACTCGAGGTTATAGTAATGTAATTAATTGATGAGTTATGCATGCGTGCACAGCTTCCACTATATTCTCCTGGAGATTAAGCTTGAGCAGGGACTAGTAATCGTCTTAGACTCGAGACGAAAAGATCCCGAGACCTATGCGGACATGACTAAAATTCTCAACAAGTAAGTTCAATCGATCATTATCGCACCATATCGGCAACTTTTTGTTCATTTCCTGATATCTCAAGTAATAATTATTATCTTTATCTTGCAGGGTTTGGAAAAAGTTCACCACAAAAGCTCTGGGATTGCCGAGGGAGCTGCGATATACATACCCGAAAGTAAGTACTACTAGCTAGCTAGTTCCGCGCATCTCCCGTTGATTCTAGCTACTTTCATCGATGCCATTTATAATGCTTCATTATCAGTTTGATTGACCTCTATTTCTCGTAAAGTGCTTGTGGCAGGAACAAGGGAATGATTACTGTGGATACTACGTGTGCGAATTCATCTACAACGCGACTTGCAAAAATAAGCGGGGCTACTCTCAAAGACAATTTGATGTGCGTAAGCAATAATATTCACAATTTCATTTTATTACACCATCATTTCTGTTGAGTTTCATTCATATATATGTATTAACCCCCTTCTTCAAATTAGACGTGGCAGATGCGGAATGAACTCCTATTAGAAGATCGCATGAAAGCAATTCAAGAGGAATTAGCGGGATTCTTTTTTGACCACGTCATCAATAAAGCCGAAGAATAGAAGCTGAGTTCTTATATAATTAGGGGAGATTATATTGTAAGAGATCTTAATATTGTATATATGTAGCCAGTAGCGTCGGATAGATATACGAAAACTTGTTGTTCGCGCAATCTCTCGGAGAAGGAGAGGTCGATATCACTTCTCTCGATATGCATGACGAACTTATGTACTTAATGGTTTCCTTCATTTGCTTACTAGCTAGCGTGTCGAGGGACTCTCTATACGTAGCATCGACCAAGCACGGAGATAAGAGAGGACACTTCTCTCTATTAATTAATTAGCTACCTAACACAATATATGAAACACCTTAATTAAACATACAAAACCCTCAACCCCCCCCCCCCTTAAGAAAAAAAAACAAAAACTCTAGCCCCTGAAAAGCTGACGCGTGGATGCCTTTTGGTCCCGGTTGGTGCCACCAATCGGGACCAAAGGCCCTCCTGCCTGGGCTCGCCGCAGCGGCCACGTGGAGGCCCATCTGTCCCGGTTCGTATAAGAACCGGGACTAAAGGCCTAGGGCTTTAGTAACGACCCTTTAGTCCCGGTTCCTAAACCAGGACAGATGGGCCTTACGAACCGGGACAAATGGCCCTTTTTCTACTAGTGTAACCAAAAGGAAAGGAGACAAGAAAGGTGAGAAGCGAGTTGGGGCATTAGTAAACCCGTTACAGGTGCTTGTCGTCAAAACACCTACCATGGGGCAAAAACCTATTAACACCAGCAAACATGAGATAAGTATCAAATAGTCTAGACGTCAACAACAAATGGACTACAACAACCAACTCAGGGGCGTCAAATCTTAGTGAGAGCACCTAAGAGATAACGAAAATCACAGATCGCCAAAGCACAATTACAAGCTTCATCTGCGTGAAAACATCAGCAACATATTAGATCAAGAGCCTACCATAAGAAGCAAACCGATCCTCCAATGAGGAAGCCACCTGAATCGCCCTCTTCAATCTAGCCTAAAAAGAAAATATATGTTCCATCTTCTTTAGCCCTGTATAATATAGCATAAAGGCACACACATTGAAGACAACTTCTAACGAGGAGCGCACAATGTGCCCCTCTTGTTATGGGTACACCAAATACCCCAGCAAACATCACCATGTAAATATTTCTTGCCACTAGGAAGGAAACTATACAACCATGAACAACTTTGCCAAAGGAATTTGGGGCAACACGAAGCACCCAGAGTCAAACCAAAAAAACCAAACTAAACGAGCAAAAAGACAAGTGAAAAATAAGTGGCTACCAATTTTAGCAGTGGCAGAGCTAGATAAAATCTATCCGGGGAGGGAGGGCAAAGATGGATATGAGGGGGGGGGGGGCACACCCTCAACTCAACACATAGCTTCGCCTCTACATTGCAACAACCTTCCTTAGCTTCTTGAATAAGCGGCCCAACTAGAAAGAGGTTCTTGGCAAATTATCATCGCTTTACAATTGAGCTCAACAATTAGTTTTGGGACGTCTATTTCCACCTCTAATTTCATCAGTCTGTCAGCTGCAACATCACAACATTGGCAGGTACTATCAATGCACATGGCAACATTATTACTACAAGAAAGAAGGGAAACGTAACAATAGATACCATTGCCATAGTGGCCATCAGCACGCAACAAAGAAGGAACTGGTTTGCTTTCACAAACTCAGTAATAATGTACAATTTTAATTTACCCAGGGTTATTAGAATGTCAAATAGCAAGGGGTAAGGACCATTAATGAATATCATTCTACAACATTCTTTTGTGGAGCATATATTGAACGATGTCGTGGCTCTCGAAACAACATTAGATTTACAAGCATAGACTTACCTCCGCCAAAAGAAGAAGGAAGAGTTGCTTGAAACAGAGGTCATGGGCAGTTGAAGATACCACAACCTGTTTGGTACCCCTTTTGGACAGAGAAATGTGAGTTTCATAAGGGTGTTACATGGAGAGATTAGGCGCAACAAATTTATATTTCCTATGGTCTTTTTTACTTCGCATATAGATCCGTCTGAAGTAAAACTTCATAAAGTTTAACCAATTTTATAAAGAAAAAAAAATCAACATTCACAATATGAAATCAATATCTTGTGTGTCATGAATTTAATTTTTAAATTGCATAACTTTAGTATTATAGATGTTGATATATTTTTATATAAATACGGTCAAACTTTCTGAGGTGAGTCCGTGCCACAAATCGATGGAAGTTGCCCCCCTCAACTTCATTTATCTTTTGTTCCAAAAAGAGCTCTCATTTCCTTTTAAAAAGGATCATACTGGCGTCAGATACGAGCACATGACATTTCTGAACGTTTTTGACGCCAAATTTAGTGACATGAGGATGGCAAGTTTATTTGCCAAGCATAGCAACTTTTGTGTTTTAGTTCTTTTTATAGAAACTTGCACCGTGTCAGTGGAAATTTGTCATCCTTGCGTGGCTGAAATTGCCATCGAAAACGACAGAGCCGGAGTGCCATGCACCTGACGTGTGGCACTTATCATTTGTGTTTAAAAAACTCCCATTTCCTTTTTCATTTATAAACCCTGGTTTCCCGTTCAACAGTGGGTCCTAATTGGAGGTTTCTCAAGATCACGCGGAGAACACAACGGCCAAGTTGCCCACGCAAGTTTCATTCCCCCTGTGGCACACAGCTGTCCGGTCTCCATTCCCAAAGCCATTCCCCTGCCTAAAAAACTCGAGCGAGAAAATCCAAAATCCCGGACCAACGAACCAGCCCCTCGTGTGTGTGTCGCAGGAATCAAAGACACGCGGCCGCCGCGCCGTCCCCGCTTCTAGAACCTTCTGGATCCAGCGGGGTGGGAGGGAGCCCCGTCGTTCTTCGCCCGCGCCAGGGGTCGCTGAGCTCCCGACGGCCGGCCTCTGATGGCGTCGGGCGCCGCCAGGTCGTCGCGGTCGCGCCCCGCCGGCCACTCCGGCGTGCTCCCGGCGGGCGCCGCGGCGGCGGGCGGCGTCGGCGTCGGCGCCGGGGTGCAGCTCGCCGACAAGCTCAAGATCTTCAAGACCGACAAGTTCGACCCCGACTCGTACGTGCAGTCCAAGTGCCAGACCATGACCGAGAAGGTGAGCGAGTCAGTGCCTCATGGGAGAGACCGCCCGCCGGGAAGTTTTTTCTTCCGTGTTCCGCGAGATAGTAGCAGTGCTTTCTTATCTGTCGATGCGAGTTCCTCCTGGTAGAAATCGCCATCGATCGCGCTGCCGCTGCGTTGTGCAGGACATGATCCAGGGGGGAGACGAGTTTTTTTCTTGGTTTAGTGCCCTAGTGGAGCAGCTTTGGAGGAGGCACCACCGAAGCAGAGAGGGATGCCGTGCTGCTCCTCATGGGGTAATCCGCGGGCGGGCACGTGTGTTGGTTTGGAGCTGACGGTTAGCCCTGCCTGGCTAAAAATGGAAAAGGGAATGCAACTTCTTACCTAATTATTATGCGTTACCTTTCGATTCTGCAGCTGTTCTGTGAGAAACTCTGTTTCTATCACGCGTTAGGATCCTGTACCTATTGGCTATTGTTATGGGTTGGGGCCACTGTTGGATGCTTAACAGATACTGTAGTACTTTCTTAACGCAGCCAAATTTGGATGTTGGATGTTTTTGGTCAACTGAAGGTAGACCTCGGAAACAAATGACAGTTTATGATTCCCCCGTTACTGGGTTATCTGATCGACTCCTCCCATAAGTTTAGTGAACAATCTTGATTCTTAGGTAACATCAGGTTTTGTGAATGAACACTTTGTTGCTGGACTAACGTATGGACTATGGAATGTTCTACTCTTGCAACTGCACCATGTCATGCACATGTGCTTCTTACGGCCATTTCTAGTGGTGGCGCTTTGATGTCTATTATTGTTCACCAAACGCTTTGGAAAATGAACCATGCCTCATGTTTTCATAATTTGTGCCAGGAAATAAGGCACCTGTGTTCCTATCTGCAAGATCTAAAGAAGGCTTCTGCTGAAGAGATGCGCACAAGTGTATATGCTAACTATGCTGCATTCATCAGGTGCGTTCAAGTGTATACACTTAATTACTCCCTCTCTCTCAGTTTACAGGGCGTGCGCGTACCCCTAGGTCGTCAATTTGACCAACCTAATACAAGTCATATATTACAAAAAATATACAATATAAACTTGAAATGTTCTATTTTCAAACGGTATAATTTTTGTGTTCTATAGTTTATATTAGGGTGATAAAATTGGCAACCTAGGTATACGCGCATGACTTGTAAACTGAAACGGAGGAAGTATGTTCTATTTGTCATGCGTGAAGTCAACTGTTGATATTTAATCTCAACCAACAGAGTATCTTCCTGGAATGCGGAGTATTGTGCCTGATAAATTACCCCCCTCCTCCTATTTTCATTTCTCTGAAATGGTTTGTGCCCTAGCATATCCTGCTGCTAATAGTCTCTCAAGTTCTGCACGGTCAATACAACTATATGCCTAACAGAATTTCTTGGATGAAAGAACCACATTCCATGTTTCCAATGAATATTTGGGAACGACATGAAGCCAGCAATTTCTTAATAGCAGTTCTTCTATTGTTCTGAGTGGATGGTGTTTCTTATTTTCTTGTCCATTTACGGCAACATCCTATTCATAAATCATGAATTTATATGGCATGCATTATATTTTTACACTTGAGAAATTTCTTATTATTGCTATTCTGTCACCTCCCAACTTCCGTGTTCTTCCTTCCTACTACCCATGACTTTGAAAAACAATGTCTGAAAACTACTCTCCTGGTTATCAGAACATCAAAGGAGATATCTGAACTTGAAAGGGAGCTGCTATCTATCAGGAATCTGCTAAATACAGAGTCAGCTCTAATTCATGGTTTATCCGAAGGGATTCAGATTGATTCCTTGATTATGGGACCTGAAGATTCCGCAGAAGAGAACATCTCCACTGTTGAATACCAGGAGCTTTCAGAAATACAGAAATGGCATATAGATTTTCCCGACAAGCTTGATGTTTTGCTAGCTGAGAGAAGAGTGGATGAAGCACTGGATGCCCTGGATGAAGCAGAAAGAATTGCTGTTGATGCAGAAAAGCAACAGACTCTTGCCACAGCTGACATTGTTGCTTTGAAGGAGATTATCTCTGATAATCGTCAAAAGTTGTCAGATCAGCTTGCTGAAGCTGCCTGCCAGTCTTCTACTTGTGGCATTGAACTTCGTGCTGCAGCTTCTGCTCTCAAGCGACTTGGTGATGGACCTCGTGCTCATAGTTTGTTGCTCAGTGCACATAACCAAAGGCTTCAGTCCAAAATACAAACAACACGTCCGTCTAGCACAGGACATAGTGTGGCTTACACTGCGTCTCTTGCAAAGCAAGTTTTCTCTGTCATAGCTAATGCTCTCAGTGACTCTATGGAAGTGTTTGGTAATGAACCATCTTATACCTCTGAACTAGTTACTTGGGCTACTAAGCAGGCAATGGAGTTTACCTTGCTTGTAAAGAGGCATGCTTTAGGCTCTTGTGCAGCTGCTGGGGGCTTAAGAGCTGCTGCCGAGTGCGTTCAGATAGCACTTGGTTATACCTCCTTGTTAGAAGCTCGTGGTCTGTCACTTTCAGCAGTTCTGTTGAAACAGTTCAGACCCTGTGTTGAGCAAGCATTAGATTCCAATTTGAGGAGAATCGAAGAGAGTACTTCTGCATTAGCGGCAGCTGATGACTGGGCACTAATCTATCCTCCAACTGGTATAAGAACATTTGCTAGAGCATCTGCTGGTAATTTGGCACTCCAGCCGAAGCTCTCGAGCAGTGCCCATCGGTTCAATTCAATGGTTCAGGTAACTATCTATTTATTGTCAGATGATTCAACTTTCAAGCTACATTAATTGGGGTATCTTTGTCCCGCCCTTTAAGCATATGGCAGCTGATTAATTATTATGTTTTGCTTCGAGAGACACTATTAATATGATTTAATAATTCTTTTACAATATAATTACTGTGCTCTGTTTTTGTAGAATTCATATGCGATGATAATTAATGGTATTTTTTGCAGGATTTCTTTGAGGATGTTGGGCCACTGCTTAGCTTGCAGTTGGGTGGTTCTACAATGGATGGGCTTCTGAAAATATTCAGTACATATGTCGATTTGCTCGTGAGTGCACTGCCAGGCTCAATGGATGATGAAGCAAATTTGGAAGGTTTAGGAAATAAGATTATTCGCATGGCAGAGACTGAGGAGCAGCAATTAGCATTGTTAGCCAATGCATCCTTACTTGCTGAGGAGTTGTTACCTAGAGCAGCTATGAAGCTCTCATCTGTAAACCAGGCCAGCATGGGTAGTATGCGTATAAGGGGTCCAGACAAGCAAAACCGTGCAGAGCAACGTGAATGGAAAAGGAAGCTGCAACATATGGTGGATAAACTTAGAGATAGTTTCTGCAGGCAGCATGCTCTTGATCTTATATTCACAGAAGAAGGTGACACCCATCTCAGTGCAGAAATGTACATCAATATGGACAATAATGCTGAAGAGACAGAATGGGTTCCATCTCTAATTTTTCAGGTACTACAAGTTTCTGCCCTTAAAAACTTGATCGATAAACCTTAGGTTTAATATTAGTTTGAAGAACATGGTCCACCATGGTAAGTGTCGTCATGCTGGCTATTGTATCTTCTGTTGAATTTTATTTTTGGCAAGACCACCTTCCATAGAATGTTGATTCTTGATAGATTTTAGTGGCGGTTTGACTCTTAATGATAGTTGTACGGTGAATAAGTCTATTATGCATGAATCTGTGATCCAGTGATACTTTCTGTGCTTGTATATATAGTAAACGCATTGTATCTAGTCCTAGATGTTACATTTTTATTGTGTGTTTAGCCTTATGTTAGGATAAACAACCTAATTGTAAACAAATCATATTTGAAATTTATCAAGGCAAAATATTACTTCTAGTTCTGATTTAGTGAGCTGCTTATCCGTCTGTTTTACAAATATCTTTGGAAGGAAAGATGAATCTCGAGAAAATTTGTTACCTTAATGACTTACAGAAATGCTAGCCATTTGAAAGTGTTTGGAATTGGGTAGAGTAGTGTTTTGCCAGATTTCAGATAACAAGTCATGAGGCTTGAGTGGTCAGCTGCACCTCGTCTAGTATTTCCTTCTGCGGTATCTCATCTGCAGTCCACATTGCAGGAATTATACACAAAACTGAACAGGATGGCGAGCATCGCCGCAGAGATGTTTGTTGGCAGGGAAAGGTTTGCTACGTTGCTGATGATGCGGCTGACTGAAACAGTCATACTGTGGCTCTCGGATGACCAGAGCTTCTGGGAGGAAATCGAAGAGGGGCCAAGAGCCCTTGGCCCCCTTGGACTTCAGCAGGTAAGCTCCTTTTGTGCCTCATAATATTACGCTAGTACCATTTTTTTTAAACATTTTTCTTTCCCAGTTCTACCTGGACATGCAGTTTGTCATCCTTTTCGGGCAAGGCCGGTTCTTGTCCCGGCACGTGCACACTGTCATACTGAACATAATCGATAGAGCGATGGCAGCATTCTCTGCTACTGGATTGGATCCTGATAGGTAAATTTTAACTGTTTATCCAACTTCAACATTCCATCCCAGTGACCCAGTGTCTAATACAATCTGTTCAAGCCAGTTAAATTTGAGATACTAGCACTTGTGTCTGAATCTGACATAGCAGCATTGCCAATCTCTGCTGCAGCGCGCTTCCGAGCGACGACTGGTTCATTGAAATCGCGCAGGACAACATCAGCAGGATCAGCGGGAAGGCCCGGGCCGGCAACTCGGAGAGGGAGGTGCACAGCCCGACGGCCTCTGTCTCGGCGCAGTCTGTGTCGTCGGCCAGGTCCCACGGCAGCTCCTAGCTCGCATCATCTTCAGTATACAGGTCCTTGCAGTATAGGTGTACGTGTGTAAGCAGTACGTGTTCCTCTTTATCTGTATATATCCATTCTCTGCTGTATCTGTGTCCGGTCTGTGATCTGTTGTGCAGCTAGCTAGTTGTGATTGTAGCCCAGTGAGTATAGAGTATATAGACTGTATAGTATAGATAAAGAAATAATTTGCATTGGAATCGCATAAGAAGAGGAAAATATATGTTCCTCTGTTGAATCATCGACCGTTCAAATGTTCAGAGCTAAGGTTTGTATATTTTTCGCAAAAAGAGAGCCAAGTTTTCTTTTTCTGCAGCGAAAGAGAGGTTTTCATTTTCTGAGGAAAAGAGAGTTAAAGTTTGTATATTCAGCATGGACTGGAAAACAGGCCTACTCGGCTCAATTTCCTAGCCTATTTTCTTGTCAAGCTATCCAAACTTCGCATATTTGATACATCTCATGCGGACCAACTTGTGGTAGGATGATTAGGAAGATAGTGTCTTAGACTAGACACCGGTGCTCGCATTTTTCTGGATTTATTATATGCCTTCATTTTCTTGGATTTATTCTAGGCCTTCCAGCGTTGTGCATTCAGTGGGAGCAGACGTTCTTATCGACTATGAAAGCATCTATGATGACATCGCCAATCTTAAGATGATGTACCGACTTAGTTTCTCGGAGGTGCTCGGGTAGAGTGCTTACATGTGTTCATAGGGTTAAGTGTATGTGCGTAGATATGCGCTGTGTGTTTGTACTATGTTATTAAAGAAAAAGAAAAATTCTTATTTATGGCTTAAAAAACCAGCCACCAAACCGGCGGTCCGGTCGGTGAAAACCTGAACGGAGGACCCCAGTGATCTGGTTTTTAAAACTGTGGCATTCAGTTTCGTGCACTAATCAGTAGAACCAAAAGAGAAGGTTGGGCAATCCACGCACACTTCAACGGTATGCTTGTGTTCCCGCCAACAAGAAAAAAAACCCGGCATGCTTGTGTATGTGGTGAGCACTTCATGACATGAGTGCGCGTGGTTCAGTTCACCTTCCAATCAATTGGAGAAGAAACAAGAAACCTCTTTGGCCGACCGGGTCTCCTCCGCTCTCCACCAACCAAAAATCTTCGTCACCCTGGCTCGCACGTCAAGCCACTGTTGTTCGTCACTGATGGCGATGATGAACACGCGACCAGTCTCCAGTCGCCAAAGCACTAGGATTTGAAAGCGTCTTGCAAAAAAGAATCTAGATGATTGGCGCCAAACACCAACCGCAGCTAACAAATTAGCCAGGGCGACCGTGGTAAAAAAGGCGTCGATAACGCGTGCGTGGATTCCGTGCTCCCGGTTGGACTTTGCACCAATTAGTTTAGAAAAAAATAAAATCCGAAGACATATACTTTAAAATTTCAAAAAAAATCTTGAAACAAGTATGTCAATTACATTTGCGTGTGAAAATGTGTTAGTTCATGTTCTTCAACAAGTGATAAAAAATTGTGCCTACGAGCAAAGCACTTTACTGCACCGAATTTGTTATTTTTTCACGAGGCACAAAAATTCATGTAATTGCACCAAACGTAAAGCTTTGTTTGCAAAACTTTGTGTATTTTTTATTTTTGTAGAAAACACAAAAAAATGGGAATTTTCGTTGGTCATGGCGTGTGTCCCCGATTAGTTACCGATGACGATGCACGGAAACTTCGAACAAGACATGTCCACGTCTCGGTGCGAAATGAAGGGAGACTTTAGTGAGCTTTTGAATCCTTCAACCCCTTTGACATTTGTTCCCTCCCTTCATCCCAACTCTTCTCTCCCGTGTTATATATACACCCATCCCCGATCATCCTCACCACAGTACCACAACACGTACGCGCCAACAACCTCATCGGCTCTTTTTTTTTAAAAAAAAAATCTCGTCGGCAATGGCGCGCTCCAGAGTCTCGATCATGCCGTCGCCGGTGCTCCTGTTGATCGTGGCCGTCGCCGCGCTCGTCTCGGCGTGCGCGGCAGACCCGGAGCCGGTGCAGGACTTTTGCGTGGCGGCGGCCACCAACGGCTCGGCCGACCATCCATCGTACCCGGGGTTCCCGTGCAAGCCGGCGTCGGCGGTGGTCTCCGACGACTTCTTCTTCGCGGGGCTGGCGCGCTCGGGCGCCGCCGACGCGGCCGAGAGCCCGTTCGGGTCCAGCGTCACGTCCGGCAACGTGGCGGCCTTCCCGGGGCTCAACACGCTCGGCGTCTCCATCAACCGCGTCGACCTCGCCCCCGGCGGCGTCAACCCGCTCCACAGCCACCCGCGCGCCGCCGAGCTCGTGCACGTCGTCACCGGCCAGATGCTCGTCGGGTTCGTCAGCACCGCCGGCACCTTCTACTCCAAGGTGGTGCGGGAGGGCGAGAGCTTCGTCATCCCGCGCGGCATGGTGCACTTCCAGTTCAACACCGGCAAGGAGGCCGCCAGGGCCGTCACTGTGTTCAACAGCCAGCTCCCCGGAGTTGTCCTTGCCGCGCCGTCGCTCTTCGGCGCCGACCCGGAGATCCCCGACGCCGTCCTCTCCAAGAGCTTCCAGGTCGACGGCGAGATCATCAAGCTCCTCAAGTCCAAGTTCCGGACTTAAAAAACGACGCACGAGCTTCACGGTCGAAGCTGCCTGTTGTTAGCTTGATTGGTTTATTGTTACACATATACACTGTACACCAGTAAATACGGACACCTAAAGTTGTTCACTGTTTCATGTAATTTTGATTGGATATTAAATGCGCCAATAAAATTTAAGGTTTTTTTCAAGGAAAAGCATCAGCCTGACTTTATAAATAAAGCCACCAGGCAGCGTTCCAGGGCTCACAGGCCACAACCTCGGCACGCAGGCCGGAACTAAGAAACATGAACCAAGAGCGATAAGCAAACACTGCCAATAGCTAAGCCAAAAGGTCATCCAGGAGATCTAGCCATGTGGCTCTTGCTGTGATGAAGAAGACGATGAAGCCTGAATTTTAGAAGATAGGAGGTCCAAGGCGTCTCGGTCTTCCGTCTTAGTCAATGATATCCACTACTGCAGAAACATGCAAGATTTAAATAAGCAATCCGCAGGTTTAGAAGGAAAAATAAGTTCAAAAAATTTAAATTCAAATTCAGTTCATTTTAAAACCAAACTTTTACCTCTTGCTTCAGAGGAAGGAAGAAGATGAGGGCCTTTTTAGAGGTTTGAAAGTACAAGGACTTTCTTGCAAATATCAGGTGTACTCCACGTGCGAGACACGTAAAACGGGACGTAGGGAATAATAATAAGTTTGTATTGTACCCCATCCGTAAATAAATGTAGGAGTGTTTAGATCAAGCAAGTCTATATCATATTTTTACAGCATTTTACGTCAAACATTTGATTTTACAGCATGTCCCCACATGTCAGGGCCACGTGGCGTTGACTTGAGCATATACATTTTAGACAAGAATGAGGGTAAGAACAAGTTTGGCGTTTGGACTTGAGATTATGAGAACAAAATTGCATTATTTATTCAGAGTAGCAAAAATTCATATTCAGATCCGTGAACGACTCATTGTTCTTGGTGTCCTGTCCTTTGAAGCGATGCTGCTGCTGCAGACCAGAGTCGTCGTCGAATCTCCGATGAGCCGTGCGTCTAGAAGGAGTAATTGACAAAAAACTACCACATTTCACGTATTCGTCCCACAGAACTACCACATTTTGAAAACTGACCAAAAACTCCAGTTTAGCGCTGATTTCGTGACAAAAAACTACCACATCGCGTTGATGACCGTTTGAAGCGTTTTAAACGATTTTCTGACAGACCCGGCCCACCGGTCAGGACGGCGGCCGCGCTAACGGCTAACAGCGCTCGCCTGCCGCCCGTTAGCCGCGTGGGTCGGTCGGGCCCGGTCGGACCAGGCATAACCTGGCCGACCGGCTCGCTCCTCGTCCTCACCACCTCACTCTCCCCCGACCCACTCTGCTCCTCTGCTCTCCACTGCTCCTCCTCTTCTTCTCGCACTCCGGCGACGCCGCGACCATGCCGTCGTGGCCCAACAGCAACGAGACCTCTGACAATGATGACGAGTACATGAGCGAGTTCAGTAGCATGAATATGGAGTACTTTGTAAGTCAGCTCAATCTCTCCTCTCCTCTCCTCTGCTAGGGTTAGGGTTTGAAGAAGGATAGGGATTTCTCCATTTAAGTTCATGTATGCGAGCTGTAGTTGACATATATGTGTTTCCTGCTACAACAAACTCCAGATACTGTGATAGATCCAAGCTTTTCTGGGCTTGTGACTGAATCTGATCGTAGGTGCATCCTGCACAGGGAGAGGGCTGGCAAATTTGTGGCATTTGAAGGCACTGACACTGGCAGGAGATTCATAGGATGTGCAACTGAGGTAATGAACCAAGTTGTCATGGCTGTGATTGATTCTTTTTGTGCTTTTCTGAATAATGCTGCTGTTTTTCTCATTTTTGATTAATTATAAGAACATTGCTATGTCTAAATTATGTACTTGTAGCAAATAGCAGCAAAGAGCAATGGAAACATAGCACTGATTTATAATTTGTAGCATAGAGTTAGCTAGTGTATTGTAGCTACATATATGAGTACTGTTTATGATTTGTTATTGTGAATATGTTAATGAAGAATAAAGCTCACTTTAAATTTAACTGAATTTTCAGGATGGTGTGAACTGTGGTGTTTTAGAGTGGGTAGATGCCCCTTGGTCTGCGATTTTGCAAAGGTGCTTCACCAAGCTCTGGGATATGTATCATGAGGAGAACCTTGGTAGAGTGCAAGACAAAGAGGCTCATGAGATAGAGGTTGAGAAACTGAAGAAGGAGCTGGATTCTCTTGGCAATCAGTACAGTCAGCTTGTGGATGATGTATCCAAGCTGTTTGATTACCAGCATGGGAAGAAATCCCATGACATGGATTACACAAGCCAGGCAATCAATGAACTTAAGGAGAAGAAGCATCAGCTTGAGGAGCAGACAAAGATTGAGATTCAAATGGAGAAGCTTAAGCTAAAGAAAGAACAAAGGTGCATCCTGCAGAGTCAAGCTGATATCATTCAAAACACCAGGAAAGCCATGAAGGAGATACAAGTTGAGAGAGACCTCCTTAAAGAAGAGAAGAAGAAGCCGGAGCATATCATTGCTGAGCTCTTGAAGGCAGGTCATGGCTGCAAAGAAAAGCTAGACAAGATCAAAGAAGTTGTCATGGAGGAGTGAAGTGGTACCTAGGGTTGGTAAGTGAATATGAGGCCTATATATATATATATAACTGGCCTAGTACTAGAATCTGATGCAGATATGCATCTTAGTATTAATATGAACTCCCTATGAACTTCCTATGGTTTCAGATCATTTTGGTTGTGTTGTTGGGTGCTGTAATGCCACTGATCTGTAATGCTATAAGATAATCCTATTTGTAATGCCACCTGAACCATATTATCCAGATGTTGTTATATCTCCATCTGCAATTTGTTGCTGCTAGGTAGTTGTTGCTAATACTTACACTTTAATCTAGTAACACCAAACAACATTGAAACTGGAAATGAAAATGAAACTAAAACTTGCATTACACAGGAGGTAGCATAGATAACACAAATTGTCTGAGGATGCAACATACATAGCATTACATAGATAGATAGCACCAAATAGTTTGAGGATAACTGAAACTAGCCAACACTGAATAAGACTGACGAAACTGAATGTGAAACTGAATAGTTTCACATTCAGTTTCAGTTAGGCGCCTGCCCTGCTAAGCGGCCTGAGCGTCGTACCTCCTGCTTCACTTTGGTAGGATGATTTGCCAGCATCTGCACCTCCTGTTCTTCTTCATCTTCTCCTTCATCGATGAAGATGATGGGAGGAGGGCGGCGGCGAGCCTGCAGTGATGGTGGTGCGATGATCTGGAGGTCGTCGTCCTCGTCTTGGTGCTTGTTTGCGTTTGCTTCAGCCGTAGATTGTGCTGGGGCGACGTAGTGGTGGTCTGCCCACCGCTGCCTCTGCCCAGCATCGGCGGAGCCCGCCTCTTTCATTGCCCATAGCAGTGTATCTATGGACAGGATCCCCTTACCTCGGTTTCCATATTGCTGGTCCATGCATTGCTTCTCCTCACTCGTCGCCTTCTTTCTCACTTCGTCTGCTCCATCCACCAGATCTTGAACGCTGGTGTACCTTGTGACGACTTTCATGTAGTCCACGAAGAGGTCGTCGTCGCCGCGCGCTGAACCATAAAGCATGGCAACCCATCCCTTGCCAGTTGGGAATGGGTTGAGCCATGGGTCCAAAGAAGAGGAAGAA